ACATAAAGGACTTTTTGACTGTTGCATCATTTTCTTCCCTTCATAATCCACCTGGCATGAATTAAACTGTATAGCAGGAAAAGTGATGGGAAATGTGGAGTGTAAGTGAAAGARCTCTTTGTGCCATGGGAAGCTGCTAGAATATTCGCAGGCCAGCACTTTGGTCTGCCCAGTGTTATGCTTTGCTTCCCATGGCAGTTCAATACTCTCCACCCCACAAAGAGAGAAAAGTCAGTTCTTTCGAGGTGGAACTGAGGGAACCAAACCAGGAATCCTCCCTGTGCCTCCTCACTCAGGCTTCCTCCAAAATGAAATAAAGACCAAATCATCAATGTTTAGAGGAACCTGCTCCTAATGTTCAGTTTTAAATGTCAAAATTAAATTTAAAAAAAAAAGGTAGATAAAACAAAGCAGAAATCCCAAAGGAAAGCAAGGCACCAGAGTTCCAACCCTATTTTTTTTGTTTGTTTGCAACCTGATTTGCTCCATCTCTCAAATTGCACCAAGCCAATTGACACTGATTGGCCCTACTCATGCCCATTTCAGCAGACAGGTGAATGATTGAGTGAGCCATGGAGACTGAAACGAGCATCTGGTGTTCAGGACATAAGTCACATCACGCAAATTCTTTCCTATATGTCTATTTTGGAGATGGATGGATACAGAATCGTAGGATAAACAGACAAAACACAGGCAGGAAACACACAGATTTCTAAAAGAAAAACTATGATGGGTTWATGAGCATGGGCAAAAGTAACAGTGAAAAATCCAGCTTATAAAAGCTGGATATCCAGCTTATAAAAGAAAAATAGGAAGATTGAAAGAAAATTTCTGTAAATACATTAAAGAACACGAATTAGTTATGAATTTTCAAAATTATGTGGCTGAATAAACATTCCACYTTTGAATTGTGTTCTGTAGAGGCGATCCATTGCAAGCAGAAAAGTGACAGCATAGTTTTCACTCAGTGTTGTGTTTAGGGAAAAAAATGTAGATAACGTTTTGAAAAAATAAAAATGCCTTGCTTAGAACTTTCCAAACAAAATAGTTTCATATCTTGGTTCTAGTTTAATTTCTGTTCAACTTTTTTTCTTTTTTTTTTTTTTAATTCTGAAACAGGAGTATTTATTCAAGCTGTACCATTTTGATTTTGAATAAATAAATTTTTATTTTTTTAAACCAGTTTATTTTTCTTGTCTTTTGAAAGAAGGGAAAATAGTTTTTAACTGAAAAGGAACTTTTAATTTGTATCTCTTAGATGCCCTACTTTCTGGACACAAAAATTTACTTACAAYATTTCCCACAGAAAATTGTAAACGATTTTGGTTACCTTTTTCTTAGATAGATATTAGGATTAGGCTAACTTTGTAGAGGGAGGTTACAGTAAGGCTGAAGTTAATTTTTAAAAGTGAAATTATAACTTTTTCTCTGCCACACTTGTCACAGAAAGTTAAATAAGGAACCTGGCAATAGCCTTCAGATTGTGTAAAAGTTCAATTCTCATCCATAAAGGGAGAACTGTACATGGCAGTGGAGGGAATAAGTACATTTAACTGGAGATGAATCATACCAAACATCAGCAAGACTTCCCCGACTGATGTATTTGAAACCATACAAAAGTCTTCAAGCAGAAAGGAAGGAAATCCTTGGTACATAAATGGAAGAGTATCATAGTCAAAAATCCTAGACTGCAGGAAAATCTAATGGGTCCGTCTGAAGAAATTCAGATTAATTTCTTCGTTAGCTTCCATTGTCTGAGAGGAAGRCAGTCACCCAGGTCTCCTCTTGCTGTTAGTGGGGAGGGATGCTCCCCTCCCCAGGCGCCCTGGACATGTCTGTGGCAGGGGAATGAATTGCTCTTGGGAGTGCCCACCAGTGACTGGTGAGTGTCTAGGTCTGTTAGGTTTGTCTAGACACCCCGCTCCCAGACACTACATTTAAGCAGTATAAATCACATTCCTTCTCAGCATCTTGTCAGGATGCTCATGCTGCTGCAGATTGCTCTGATCTTCAGTCTCCAGGGCTGTCCATACTGCCGTGCTTAATCACCACCGACAAGGCTCTCTCTAAATTCAAGTTCATGTCAGGCAAGGCCCAGAATCCTGTTTTTAGTTATAGAAGCCTATGAAAAAAAATGAGGGCAAGCCTCTGTCCAAACAACCAGCACCTGTGTTAGTTGAGGAGGCAGCAGGGTTGGCCCTACTCTTTTAGTAGGGTCTGTGAAGAGCATTGTGTGATGGTCCTTCTGTTTCCTCTAAAGAATCCTTTCCTTCTATACAGTTTTACAGATCTCTGCACACGTCTTTTTGTTACCTGGCATGTTTAAATCTTCTCTTTTTATCTAGGCAAGTCCTTTGCTACTAGTTTCTAATGTTTGTTACTAAAAACTTGCACAATCTTTTTGATGCACTGATAAATAAGCAGCAGCTATGGATTGAGTTTGTTCTGAAATGTTCTGAAATCCCTTTGCACTTATAACCCTTATTGAATAAGAGAATGTTTTGTATGTTGGTTTGTCCTGTCAGATTCCCTTCCCGCTAGCAGCACTTGATATGTTACATCTGTAGAAAACGGGCTTTGGAAGTAGCAGCCCATCTTGGACGGMCGGTTGTCATCTTCCCCAGCAGTGTGAGGCAGTTTATCAGACACACTTCTCCCGTCTCCTCAGGGGCTTGTTGCTTTCTTGCTGTCTGTGGGTTTGAGCAAACCCTGCCATGTGTTTCTGTACACTGTCTTGTCTTGTTCTGAGAGACCTGGGGTCTAAAAAGGAAAGAAACAATAAACCCTAAAATGTTGGTCAGCTCCATTAATAGGAGATGCTTAGACTGGTCAGGTGCAAGTAAAACATTTCTTCTTAACTGCTTAGAAGCTGAAGAGTGCTTGTGGTAGGATCTTGGAAGGCTGCTGTTGGAGTGAAAGGTCAGTTCTTATTGTGGTCAGTTAGAAGGGAAGATGGATCCTCCTGGCACAGATCAGTTTGGCTGCAGCCATAGATGGAATCTGTGAGGTTCACCAGACTTGGGCACTCAGTGAAAGCAAACCCAGCAGGCACTGAGCTGTAGTTGTGAGGAGAGCCCTGAGTGACTGACAGCCTCCACAGTGTGTGTGTATGTAGGTATGGCTTGCTTTTGTTTGTGCAGTTCCCCATCCTCTGGTTTGAGGCTTTTTTTCTTTTGACACTTATTTTTGTTTCTTGAAAAGGAATTTCCCAGACCAAAACCTTCTTTAAGATATATGTGAGTGTTCACGGGTAGATCTTTGTGTGTGCACTCCATTAATTGTACTATATGCCCCTGAACATGTCTGGATGCCTGTGTGGGCCACAAATCCATGGGAGAGTGTCCCGACATAAATCTGTGTGGGTGGGGGAAAGAGTGTGGATGCAAGCACAAGAATTTCGTATGCATTTGCACAGTGAATGGTTGTCGGTGGATTCACAGGGGTTGTTGTGTGTGTCACTAAGGTGATGTGACTGCCCCACTGTGCAGGCTGGGCCTGCCAGTGGATGAGTGTTTGTGCCTGAGAGTTTCCTGAGTGCAGCAACGCTCCCCTGCGTGCCTGTGGCTGGGTGTGTGCCTGCATGTCCAGCTCAGGGTATGTCCTGGCATGGCTGTACATTCCATACCAGTGAGAAGGCAACGCTCGCAAGGCAGGGCCCCCTCGGCATTTCTGAGTGCATTAGGAACCCTTCCCTTAAAACAGCTCCATGGTGGGGAAATACATCGAGCAATTAAGTCCAATCGTGTCAGGCCCACTTGCTTCCTGCAACTTGGSAACATCTCCTAAGTCCCCCTAAGGAGCTTCACAGACACATGGAGGCATCTCACACAACTGACTAAGTGGAAAGGGCACACAGAAAGGCAAGATCTGGTGGGTTTAAAAACTTCAGAATGCCACAGTTTCTGCCAAATTTACCTTTAAATTGCCTGACTCCAAACCTGCATTTTCAGAGCTTTGCTCTCAGGGACTGTTGTACAACTAACTTTCTAGCCACAAAACGAAGACTCTTCTTTCCAAAATTTTCTGGAAATATTCAGTGTTTCTGTTTTGGGGCACTCTTATGCCACTGCTTAAGGCATAAGGAGGAGAGGACTTTTTAATCTTTTGTAAAAAAGAACTTCCAAGGAAGAGACCATGTGTCAGCAAGAATGACTTCTGGAGAATACAATGAGAGATAGTATAATATATGGAGCCTAGGATGCAGGGCCTATGGATTGTATTCCTTGGGCTTTGATTAGATCCCTGTACATYAGTCTTCCCATCAGTGGAAATTGCAATTATTTCTTATGTTAAAAAAGTATTATGAGAGTTTGCAAAACTCTTTAAGCCCCTTAGAAGAAAATGTTAAGGTGTTAAATTCATTACTCTCTATTATAATTGGAAATAAATTTTAAAGGAGTTGAATAAAAACCAGCAGGTTTGGAATMTATCATCCCAGAAGTAGCCCCAAGCACAGGCTAGCACTTTCTYCCTTTCCACATCAGCAGACAGCCTGGAGTTGAGTACTGTAAAGGTGTCTGACAGCCTGCTGTCCCCTCCTCCACACAAAGAAAGTTGCTCATTACTCTTTGTTGCTTTGTATCAAACGGGGAAATCAGGTTTGATTTGTGCTATGCTACAGTGCCCAAAGTAATGAAAGGAAAACACTCAGGCCCTGAGTCACTGGGAAAGCTCTTAATGGGACCTCCTTCCTTGTGGTTGGAGAGGAAAGCTGACACTTCCTTGGTCCCTTGGGTCCTTTTTCCTTCATCCTTTCTCCTGCCAGTGTCACACCAAAGATACTGCATGGCTCAGTCTTCATTTGCCACCAAGGCAATGCTCATATCAGTGTCCACTGAGCTGGATGAGCGAAGGCTTGCTCACC